TGGACGGGCCGTATCGGAGGAGAAACTTAGCGTCGTTCAACTTTATCACTTCTCACATCTCGGTGTTGTACCCTACAAAGGCTGAGTGATAGTAACTTCCTCTTACTTAAGGGAGGTTTGCGATTCCGCCTTCAAATCTCACAAAAGTCTTTTCCAATGCCGACCTTCTCAGAGGGACACCTTCACACGTGACGCGCGACCTGACCCTCCACCTCCATCTGAAACAACACTTTTACTGCATTTCTCCCTCCCCTACGTCAATATGCTTACGCTGTTTCAATAGCGCTTCTAATCGCACGCCGTTCATTCACGTTTTGATATTTGCCAAGTGAATCATGCCGATCTTATCACTCTCACCATTCCGACCTCCTTCAGCACACCATGATTTCTTCGCTGAATATTTTCCAACAAAGTGATGATGAGGTAAATCGAAAACTTTATCTGCAAACAAAACAAAAAGGCGCCGTGATTTATTGTAAAAAAACTCCAAAGATCTAGAAATATTCTTTTGGATTTTCGGAGTTTTTTTTGCAATAAATGTTGGTGCCTCTTTTTTTGTTTTTACATTCAGATTACAATGAGACTCGTATGAGAACTAGACAGCACCATACTCCGAAAACTTAACTCTCAATCCAACTTGAGTTAATCAGTACATTGCTAAATCATGTACTCCTCATCATTGCGGACCGGTGGGGCGTGTCAGCCAGTATGAGTGTGCACACTGTTGAAGCCGTTCTCAGCCTTTTTGTTGAAACGCGTATGCGACAAAAAGTGGTAGAAAACGAGTAATACGAAGGATATAATACAGTAATGTCACTTGCCCGCTTCAACAACTGGTGCAGAACGACTTTGGCACCGCGCCAAACGCAGCCGCACTGACACGCCCCGCCGGCTCCGCAATGCATCTATTTGAATAACATCTACTTTATTTTTTGCTTGTCCAACGCATGCTGGTATTTTTTTTGGTGATTATGTTGATGACGGGTTTTTAGATGGCTGCTTTTGTTATGTATTTTTTACTTTCTAAGAGTTTAAAAACTGGAGGAGATCCAGGAAGTCTAAAATTTTTTTTCACATTTCGTTCAAAAAAAAAAACTCAATATTACTAGTATCACAACTACAACCTACTAACCCCTATCTCACATATGATATGAGAGCTTTATCAATGACCTATTGCAGGAACACTCTCCTGGACTTAGTCAAAAGATCAAAATCCCCAAGAAGCGATATTCCTATGCCGACCCACTGGAACGAATGGACACGCCGATGTTCGATAAGGTGAGCATATTGCATCCATACACTGACATTTCTGCCAAAAATGTGAGGCCGTTTTTCCTTTGAAAGTTCTAGGGTTGTAAGTTTGTAGAGTGCTCTTCCTCCAGAGGTTCAACAAGAATTGGTTCAGGGAAAGAGCATCAAGGAGTAGAGAATGCCGCAGTGGGCTGATTCTCATTGAGACGAGATAAACTGTACAATCTTGTTCGCATCGACGCTGAGGCGTGTCAAGGGACTGTGCAGCGCCAAATTTTCCAGCAATTGTGGCCACCTGCCAGCTTCGTGGAAAATGCTGGGGCGTGTCAGGGGCCGGCGCCGAGCCAAATCCCGCCTCCCCTGACACACGCGCTCGTACCTGTAGCGAAGAAGACTTATATGCTCTCGGTTATGATCTGCGACCTGCTCTTTCCTCTCAACCAGTAGCTAATACTTTGACCCGAATAGTCACCTGGCTAGGTTTCAAAACAAAAAACTGTTTTCAAAGTCCTCGTCGTTGTTGAAAGTAGCGCTCGTCGTTCGGCTCGATAGTAAGCAGAGAAAAAAGACATCGTTAGCGGAGGGACCAGGGTCATGATGGGAGTCACAGAACCTCTCAATTGAACGATTAAACTTAACAGTAAAAGCGAGACGAATATCCTGTGATTTTTAGTGACCAGCGAGATGACATGGTCTTTCATGGGAGGTTTTCTTACTGCCAACTGAGTGGTCGCTCTGACCCCAGCTTACATAAAAGGTTGTAGTTCTTCTCCAGCACAACCTTTTCGAGTACAACAAAATCTCATGGATAAAAGGACAATTTCTTGGTCGCTGACCAATCCCTTTATGGTCGCAGACGGCATCCTGTACTTACTTCAGAGTCGTAGGAGCTTATTGAATGCAACGTGGCCTATACAATGACTTGCGGGCCCAGCCGATGTACAAGTCAGTGTTTTATCCTCCCAGACGAATCTGGTACCAATTTACCGTCCCGGGTAGAAGGCTTGGTTGGCCTGGGCGGGAGTCGACCCGGAATTTGGACATAGGATCGCGCGGGTGGTGAGCGCGCCACTTGTCACTACACCACCACCGCCTTCAAATCTCATATGAAACCTACCAAAAGTGTGGCGCCGTACGTTGAGGCATGCCGTCCACGCATGAAATTGCCGTTCTCATGTAGTAATCTATTTCGAACAGCTTCCCGCAGCTAATACAAACAGCACGAAATGCCCATCACGCTTTCCAACACCTTTCTCGATGTCGGAGGTGAACCACTGAATTTTGGAACTGCTGACTTTTTCTTGCGCATCCTTTCTAAGCCTAAAAAAACGTGAAAATAATAAAGGGGTAGCGATCGTGATCACATTGCGAAACAGCGAAGATGCCTTTCGAAAAATGGCTAGCTTCAGTTCTGTGTGCCTGAAAAAAAAGAGAAAAACCCACACACGTTCGTGCGCGCAACCTAGTAAAAAAAATCTAATCAGCAGCCTTTACCCGGCGCGGGATCTCGGAAGGCGAACTTCGCGCGATCAAAAGCCAGTTCGTCATGCCAAAAACTACTTCGAACTCAACTAGGGTACGCCCAAAGTGGGACTTCATAGAACTCAGGCTGAAACTTTATAACTTTACTCTACAGGGCATGTACTCTGGAGATCGTTGGTATCAGCTTTACGCGGGGCGAGCGTGTGGATGGAGCGTGGCTTGAATGAGGAAATAAGTGACAGTAAGCTGAAGAAGAATCTCTCTAAATTATTTTTTCTCTCACTCGCTGGGTGGTGGGAAGAGTTATGCCTTTCCACGCGCATGTTGACGACATTGAGCGCTCGCTATTCATCTATACAGAAGCGATGGCATCTAAAATGGCTTTTATCTCCTCTTTCTAGAGCCGCTTAGTCTCCCTAGGAACAGCTCATTCATTCGATCGGCTCATGGTGCTCGAAGATTCACTTTTCGAGAAATATGAACTGCTCAGTTCATCACCCCTATCTAACCGGCTGAGTTAGGACTATTTCGTGAGTTAGGACTATTTGTGAATTTTTCCTATAGGGTTCCGTAACATTTCATCTTTTGAAAGTAAGCTTTGGAGTAGAAACAAGGCCACTACAAACTGTTAATACCCCAAAATCGCGAAAAGTCACTCCATTTCTCCAGTAGGCAGTTTCAGCAAAAAAGGAGGGTGTGTAAGGAGAGCTCGGACCGCAGCGCTGCCAGGGCTGCCTTATCCACAAATTATCGGTTCGTGATGGTGAAAAGGTGGAAAGGACTAGGCTGACTACGCTGGAATCCACGCTCCCTCACCCGCCCTCTCCTTCTTGGAGATAATGACTGCATTGTAAAGGTACAGAGAAAGTGTTCCGCTTGTCCTGACTACTGCAAGCGTTTCAGAATAGAGTGAACCATGCGAAGAAAGGTCCATCATCGGCTGCCACCGTTCTGACGATGGCCGGTGTGTTCGTCGTTGGGATTCTACTTATGATGAGTGGAACGATTGTTTTGATAGCGGTAAGTTTTGACCTTTTTAGATTTCCACTAAATTCGTACAAATATTATTTGGCGCAAAGCCGCACCGCACCAAATATTCATTTTTCTTGATTTCTGGTTCGCTATCTCCGGTTTTATCTCTGCATTGCATTTTTCTCTTTTTATTTCGTACACGTTCACAGAATGCTCTGCCACGATGAAAAGCTTCAAGGGTTCCGTTTCTAAAAGGCATTTTGAGGCACTCTAGGAACATATTACTGCTGAACACTTTGCTAAGCAGGAGGCCTGACGGGAGCAGCAAACTCAGAAGATTTCCTGAAAGATAGTGGGTATGATTGGGGCGATGGAGGCGGGTGATTGTTGCCAGTGTTGTTGGAAGGGCTGAAGGAGGGCGTTCGGAAAAACTGACTAACGCTTGTGTGTGTGTGGGGAAGGGGGGGGGGGGGGTCAATCCCCTTTCACCGATGATGCTGGTGATAACCGCCTGTCACCAGCAGTGCCCACTGCTTCTCAAGCTCTTTAGCTCACGCCAGTCGCCAGCATCGGACGGTTTGGTGGTTGATGACTTGGCCAGATAGGAAAGAAACGCGCCAAAACGCAGCCCGCAAGCATCTTTCTACTACTAAACGACGTGGGATCTGCCGATGTTGCTCGCAGAAAAATGGAAGCAAGCCACTGCCTATGTGAGCGAGGAAAAAACAGCTATCTTAGCAACGAACCACACAGGTTGCCTATTTAGACAAGGATAGAGCATCTTGTTTTCTTCCGCGTGGGAACTTGCAAACCACCTGCACCTGCAAACCCTCCTGCAAGTTACAAAATGGCAATAAACTCGTGTAAACCTAGCAGCATACACATTTCATCCGTAAGAAAGGGGGAGGGGCATTCGAATACAATCGGAAACCTCCAACAATTCATGATGGGTAGCTTTTTTCTTCTTGAGCTGGGACAGCAGTGCTCAGTGGTTTGCTCCTGCTCATTGAGAACGTCTCGAGATTACCACATTTGGAGTCTTTCCACCTTTGAACTTTGTCAGCATTTGAGCCGTAAACTAAGCAGCTCCTCTAGGAAAATGGCATCCTCCTCAAATCGTGCATGCCCTGAATAAGATGCCCTTTCGCCACTTCTCCCCCCCGTGCACAACTGGGCCCACATAATGCTCTTACTGGGAAGCATCCCATCTCAGGCGCTGTTCGGCTTTTGAGGGACAATTTGCAGTTCCGCTTCTCCCTTTTGGGATTCGTGTTAACTAGCAGGTTTCATCTTAGTGAGTCTTGCACACTCTTGAGAAGCTGGGAAATAGTGAAGTGAGCCATTTTGGTTACAAGAATTTGCAATTCTACTGAAGGTGTCCTGTGGCTTCGCTGAGTCTCACTGGTGCCCCAACAAGCCGAGCTGCGCCCCGTCTTATTATATCCATAGCGTTACCCATCTGCCTTTCCCAAAACTGATTTTCCCCTGAACACGATTCGGAAGACGTCCCCGTTGACATGCCCGATCGTCTCGTTTGACGTTCTCCTTTCCATTTCATTGAAAATTTATAGGGATCACAAATATCCATTGTCATATGCGAACGTAACTATGCGTGTCTTTCTGATCGGAGATAACGCGGTATGGGAGAGGTCGAGAGAGCTCTTTAGAGGCGACGCTGTTGATGCAACGAAAAGAGAATAGCGTACGCCGAAATGCGAACGTTATCCATCCGTATGGAACTGCTGCGCGGACAGTGCGTTATGTTTGGATCGGCAAGGTTATCGTCAAGATTAATAGTCCCGACGCAGGCAGATTCACCATGCGCAAATGACATTTATTAATTTTTATTGGTGAGTGTGTTCCACTCTTATAGTGGGTAGTACTTCAGCGCTGAAAGTATAATACCATGGCCATGCCGTATGGTGAGCTCGGATACCATGGCCATGCCGTACGGTGAGGATCCCCAGCGAGGGGCCGTGTTTGGCGCTGGAGGAATGTCGCATACGCCTCAGATAAAAGTTTTGTCTGCTGGTAACGTTTCTCCACCTCAGAGCAAAAAGTGGAGGACTTTTTGAAAAACATCGGGAAAGTGGTAGGAAGTTGGAAGATTTGCGATGATGGTAGGAAAGAAGTGGGAAGGGGGATCGTATCAAGGGAAACATTTCGAGGTAGGGATAGGGGTCGTGTTTTCGTATTTCACTAAAATTACCTCAACGGCAGGGCCTGCCCTTACCAGGTCTGCTTTCCGGCCTGTGTGGCTCCTTAGTTCCGTCTGCCCACCGAGGAAAGCCTTACTAAATAATATTGGCTCTGTGTAACTTTGACCCAGAGGTGCATTGGACGTTCCATTGATCTTTTCTGGCACGCCTAAATCTATTGAACATATTCTTAAATGCAGTTGGCACGATAAAT